TCAGTTTATCCTGGTAGGATGCAAAGCTGAGACCCTCCTCATTAAATTTTCCCCCATTTGTGTCAATTTCAGTTAAGTACTGAAGTCTCCCAAATCAATAAATTTTAACTGATGGCATCTAAATAACAGAATTACTGATCCTGACATTGAAACCCTAAAGTTTGAGCAATGGAGACTTAAAAATCKCATATTCCTCTTTAGKGTTTTAGATCATTCTTATGCCAAACCAACAGATTTCACCTGAATGAGCTTGGACCACAAGGGCACAGAGCACAAAGGGGAATCACTGTAGACAGCTCCCTGCACTGAACTCCACCTGTGGTCAGGGGAAATTTATTGCACAATTAATATCTGGATCATATTCACAGATTACCTAGGGTCTATACAAACTCCATGTCTTTTATGACATGGAGTCATAAACAGAGTGTATTATCTTCCCTCTAAACAGTTTTCTTTGTCTTTTTTCAAATGCCACAATATAAAATAATCCAGATAACTCAACATCATAGAAATTTGATGAGGTGTACACAATTGACATTTGCAAGCTCCACCCAGTAATTAGGTTATGTCTGTGAGCAGTCTGGACACATTACTCGAGTATATCCTTTAGAGAATGGCATGTAAAACAGATTTTTCTTTTCTCGTGTCAGTTGTATGGTTAATGCACAGCAGTTTAAAATAAATACTTACTATGTATTGTGTCCATATTTGCAATGTACCATGATTCTTGAATCACAATGTGTTAAAGTAATAACATCCTAATTTCGTTACTAAGCCTTTCACCAGTGTGACCAAAATACATGACAAGAATAATTTAATGGAGGAATGATTTATTTTGGCTCATGATATCAGAGGTCCAGTTCATGCTGGATGGATGCCATAGCTTGGACTTTTGGGGCCCTAGATAAGGCAGAACACCATGGCAGAAGGGCATTGTGAAGATGCCTTATTCTGCTCCATTAATCGCAGTCAGAAATCAAAGAGAGGGAAGGGGCCACAGGGAAGAGGCAACTTCCAGGACCCCCTCCCAGTGACCCACCTCCTCCAGCCATGCTCCAGCTGCCTATGGTTATCACTCTGTCCTTTCAAACTTGGATGGCCTCTGTAGGATAGAGTCCTCACTCTCCAATGATTTCAGCTCTACCCAAACATTGGAGCTATAGGGAGACAGCTCTTCCATTTATTTTCAACCCATAACCATGCTCTAAATGGAAACACTGACAATTCCCATGAAGATTGATAGGAATATCAAGGTACTTTTAACTTAATTATGTTACTTTACAATGAACATTCATTTGCTTTCGAATAATTAAGAATATGTATTAAGCCACATTACCAGATTTGATATCAAATGGCACATGTAATCAGAGCAGTATAAAAATGTTCACCTCGCATTGACTGGCTTTCTATTTGTCCTTGAAAAATATCTTTATTCATTTTTTTATTAAAAATTGTTTTATTAATTTTTGAAGGAATATTTCAGTTCAGCTTTTTTATTGGGCCCAAGGGCACATGCCTGCAATTCTAGACACTGAGAAGGCTAAGGAAAGAGCATCCAAAGTGGGAGTTCAGCCTGGACAGCTTAGTGAGACCCTCTATCAAAACARAAGTAATAAAAGCTTGAGGTTTAGTGCAGTGGTAAAGTATCCCTGGATAATATGCCTAGTACCAGAGAAAACTGTAACAAAATGATAAAAAAAACCTTTTTATTTTAAAATGGATATATATATATATATATATATATATATATATATATATATATATATGGTTATAGATAATTAGCAGGCAAGTATCTACATATCCAGAGCTCAAGTCCTTGGAAGAGAATGTTGGCATTATCAAGGACTCTTGTATGTCTTTTCTGGACCCCATCTCCCTACTTCACTATTGAGAATCACTATCCTGATTTTTAAAGTAGTCTTATCGTTGCTTTTCTTCATACTTTACCCACCAACACAGACATTTCTAAACTGTACGGTTTAGTTATGCACACCTTTGAATTTTATATGAAGAGAATCACAGTATATCTCTTTTCTGTTTCTATTCTTTGGCTCAATACCCTGGTCCAGCTGGGAATACCAGCCTGTGAGTGGCCCCGAATTTTTATACTTCCTGGTGTTCATGGTTGCTGTGCCTTGAATATGGACAGTACTTCCCATGTTTGGACAAGAGGGTCTTCCAGACTCACTGAATTGGGAGTCGCTGTGCACCTTGAAAAACGGAGGTTTCCTGGGAAGCCATTAGCCATTGGAAGCACACCCTCCAAAGGGAATGTGGGGCCCCAGTCCTTTCTTTCTTTTTATTTCTACGTGGTGATGGGTGCAGTTTGCTCTAAGACAAACTTTTGCTTTTCCCACTCAGCGTATTCAGCAAATACCTCTGGAAAGGTGTAAGGGTCCAGTGGAGCTCGGAGAAAGAGACCACACAAGAGACTGGCTCCATACAATTGGCAAAAGGGGATTTATTGGGGATCCATTCCAGCGCGCTGGGGCTCCGTGCTCACTCAAGAAGGGAGAGCAGCCCAGAGCCCAGAGCAGAGGTCAAGCAGAGCTTAAGTACACTTTCTGGAGAGGGCGGTGGGCTTTGCATACATCAGAACAAATCATCATGAGGCGCGGGAAAATTGAACAACAACTCTGAGACATGATTAGCACATTCATTGGTGGGAACAGGTCGGGCGGGGGTGATTGGTCATTATACATTCAAACTGATTGGTTCGGGCCCTGTGACAAACTGCACAGGGCCCTAGGCTAAATGGCCAGTAGGGCGTTGTCTTAACTATCTCAGAAATTTCAGGTTCTGGGTGTAACAGAGGAACTTAATAATACCGAATCTTTTACATTCAAGCTTTCTAGCTTAGAAACTTTACCCTTTCAAAGGGTACCCCTTGGTCATGACTGGAACCCCCCAGAATGGGGAGAAACATAAACCTGCTTTTTTGTAAATGCTTTGCCTCACTTATTTCATTCCATTAATATAAGGGGAATGATGAAGTATTTTATGCAATTGCCTCTCCTTCTGTCACTAGCTTAGACAAATTCAGCTGCAGGGTGACAGGGATGCATCAGGGAAAGAGCTGAGGACGACCTCCATTCAATAGCCAGCAAACCCCAGGGCCCATCACTCAGAGCCAAGGGTGAAAGCCATTAAGGATAAGAGTTGCCAATCGGGTATTCTTGCCTCAGGTTCAGTGATGTAGTGATAGATCCAGTGTTATCTTAAAGGAAATTATGAAAAAAATTGGTAAGAAATAACAATTTGTCAGATGGTTCATCAAGTTGGTAAACAGTCCAACTAAGAGTTGACCCTGACAATAGAGAGAGCATCCTTATTGTTTGAGAAACTGTTGAAGATACTCACACTGAGAATGGGAGTATAGGGGTCCTAGTCTGGATGCCCTTCAAAATATACCCAGATAAAGGGGACTTAGAACTAGTCGTTTGCAGCCCCACCCAGCGCCCCAGCAGAGCAGCTCCACCCTCAGAGTAGCCCTGACCCTGGAAAGAGGGAGCACTGTTGGGAACGTGGAAATCGATTCAGGGCAGTACAGAGGCTGAGGCGTTCCTCATGACTAAAACCTTCAGGGTCACTCCAGGTGAACTGGGGTGGCACAACATAATCACACAAGAGACAGAGATAGCTTTTTCTTTGGGTCCTGTGATGGCTCCTCCGACCTTAAGGGTCTGCAGAAAGAGAGAGCGAGAGAAGCCAATGCTGAACCTTTTTATTGGGGAGAAGCCATTCAAATGAGGCAAGGGGTCAGGTTTCAGGGGGTTGAGTCTAGCTTCATGATGTCTGCTGTCAGCAGGTTCATGGACATGGAGGAAGGCCACACCCAAAGGCAGAGCAAGAGAAGGGGACACACAAAGGGCATTTCCATGGAACATTCTATTCCAAACAGGGCAAAGGGGTAGTATTACAAAGGAATAGTGAGTGTAGCTCCACCCCAGGGTTGACACACCGACATCTGAAGACATGCCCTCAGCTTCCTGAACGGGGACAACACCTAAGTCACTAAGAAATGTAGTGATGGGTCAGAGCCAGGAGGGAAGGCGTGGGCCATTCAGAGTGGCACCCCACAGAAGGCAATAGACTATAAGCAGAACAGCACTGGGGTCCTGTGAGTTGTGGTCCCACAGAAGACCCAGGGAGGACTGGAAGGAATCGCCCAGGAGAAATTGAGCTGTGCCCCGTCTCCCGCTCTCTGGCTGAGCTCTGCTCCTGGACCCTTTAACCCTCCTGCCCAGAGCTAGCTTTCCATCCAGAGAACATCCTCTGGCAGGTAGGTCCAGGTGCTTCCTTTCCAAACCATCATCAGTTATTAGATTGACAAATGCTCACAGAACAGAGGTGGAGCATCCCAGATGGTCTGTTATGGTTTGTAAATCTTTACAGATGACAAAAAATGACAACAACAAAATGGCAGAGTAGCACAGCAACTCTAAAGGGAAAGACAAAGAGACACGATGCCATTATGTGTGTATGCAGTAAAATGTATATTTATTGAAGATGCAGGTCTAGCTCCACATGAGACAACATGTCAGAGAGCAATACTATCCAAAGGGGTAATGTGAGAGTAGAGAGAGGATAGAGAAAATTCCAACTGTTCACATTGTTGAGAGAGTGGGAGGGTGCACAAGCCAGTGGAGAAGAGGCAGGACATTTGGAGGCCAGACTCTCTCATATAATCAGTTGGAATTGAGATGTCCTTTGTTCCATCATATATTGGCTCATAGATGGAATCCATAGAGAATGTGGGTTGAACAAGAAGAGGAGAGCTGAGGTCAGAGTGCTTAGCAGCAGGAACAGCTAGTTTGGGGAGCAGCAGGCGTTCTGGAAATAGTGGGATGGAAGCAGCTGAAGACCCAGCACGTGAGCACTGGGTTCTGTAGCAGGTRTTCTGGCAGCTTTTGGTGATGAGGTGGGAGGTCCTTCAGAAGCTGGACAAGCAGCACCTGGGGTGGCCAGCAGCATAGAGCCTATCAGCAAGTTGGGCGGCATTAGCAAGACCCACAGCAGCTGGGACGGCAGCAGGTGGTCCTGCAGCAGATGGGGCGGCAGCAGCAAGGGCGGCAGCAAGTGGAGACACAGCAGCAGGGGCGACAGCAGCAGGAGCCACAGCCACTGGAACCTCCACAGCCACTGGAACCACCACAGCAGGGGCTGCAGCAGCTGGAACCACAGCAGCTGGGGCGGCAGCAGGTGGTCCTGCAGCAGGTGGTCTGGAGGCAGGTGGGGCGGCAGCAGCAGGAACCACAGCCACTGGAGCCACAGCCACTGCATCCGCCACAGCAGGAGCCACAGCAGCTGGGGTGGCAGCAGGTGGTCCTGCAGCAGATGGGGCGGCAGCAGCAGGAGCCACAGCCACTGGAACCACCACAGCAGGGGCTGCAGCAGCTGGGGCGGCAGCAGGTGGTCCTGCAGCAGGTGGTCTGGCAGCAGCCACAGCCCTGGCCAGAGCAGCAGGAGCCACAAGAGGAGTTGCACATGGTGTCAGAGACTGGAGGTTCTCGGGGTGTTTCCAAGAAGGTGGGTTTTGAAGGTTAGGAATCTCTCTGACCCCCATCTCCTTTTATACCCTGCCAAGAGATTGGTGTTGTCACCTGCAACACCCTTTCTTGCTATTGTTTGTGTCAGTAAATAGGCAATTATCAAATTAAGCCCATTTATTTTTGGTTTAAATTTCAGGTAGGGTAGAAAACATGATTTCCTTTCTCTGATGTGATTTATTCATTTTTGAGTTCTTCCTCAATTATCTCTAGAGTGTCTTTCTAGTTGTTCTTTCTCAAAGAGAAGTGTCACATGACATTCTGCCTCTGTGTGGTGGGCTTCAATGTCAGTGTGCATAGTTTAGCATGTCTGTCTTGGGAAAGATGCACTTTAGCATCCCATATTTCTTCCTGTGGACAGTAAAGAAAAAAGCTTGATTGTTTTCTGACACCTCATTCTTTATGGGTCTGGTGGGCAAAAAAATTTTTTTAGACCATGCATGAAAGCAGGAAGACCATTAGGACCCATTTCCCATTCCATACTCTAAATAGATATTTAATGTTATACACATAATTTTTACCTGGTGGAAACCTATGTAGTGAAAATGCACATTTTTCTTTCCTCAGGAACATATTTCCTAAAAGCAAATATATGGTCTGTTGGGGGAATTTGGCTGTAGAGATCAGTCACACCATGAACTTCAGGGTTTGCAATTCTCCCCTTGGTGGGGAAGTGCTTCTTTGTGCTTTTGCTGTCCTGTCTTTGTGGTTTTTACAGGCCATATTGACTCACATCTTCTGTGTCCAGGGCTCACTTGACCACCACTGAGTTTTCTCATTCCCCATATAACTCCAACAGGCTACTTCCTGTCTCCACCGAGTTGCTCTGAAGATGCTGTGTCTTCTTTTCTTTCTTCTTGACAATATTGATCAGATTTTGCCATTTAGGTTCTATTCAAAATAAATAAATAAATAAATAAATAAATAAATAAATAAATAAATAAATTAAAATAAAATAAAATAAATAAATAAAATAAATCAGAGTGAAGAAAGATGACAGATATCTTTGATAATGGATATCAGCTGACACATATTCACAGTGAGGGTGAATTCAAAGTTCAAAGGTTACCAAATTCCAAATGCAAAAAGCCATTGACTACTGTTCCTAAAAATGAAGAATGAGGTGAATCCATTAATTGGTCTTCTATCAGTCAAGAAACAGGAAGGAAGAGACTATCTGAGCTCTCTATGACGACATCCTTGAGTATCTTCATTATGTTTTAAGTATGATCTTTTAAAGAATATGATCCTTGCAGTATTTCCATCATGTTTGCTTGCTTAGAAGACTTCTGATTTAGGTGGTTTTTCTTATTTTTAAGGCATCATTTGGTAAGATGGGAGAATAGGACATATTTAAATAATTCTATGACCCGAGTATGGAGCTATTTCACTGGATTTGCTGTGCAAGAAAGAAGAAATAATAAGACAGATGAAAATCTTCTTGATTACTAGGGAGGCGATTCGATTCTACATACATTTAGGGAGTTGGATTACTAGGGAGATGTTTCTACATAATTTAGCAGGTTTGACAGAACCGACATCACCATAACTAAAAAGCCAGAGTACACTACCCTCATGGAACAAAGTCTGGACAATCACTGCCCCCAAACCAGTGGTTCTCAATATTGGCTGCAACGGGAATCCTTGTGGGAAGTGTTAAAAACTGCCAGTCCCTGGCTTCTGCACAGAAGAATTTTAATTTAATTGCTCTGGGGTGGGACCTGGGCMTTGCAAGCGTTTCATTTCCCACAGGTTATCCTGATATGAAGCAAAGCTGAGACCCTCCTTGTTGAATATCCCTATAACATGCATTGGCATCAATTCCAATTAAGCACAGAAGTCACCAAAATTATTAAATTTCAATTGATGCTATCTAAATAATAGAGAAAAAATCCTGAATGGGGAACACTGAAGTTTGAACAATGTGAACTGAAGAACTGATACTCCTCTTTAGTGTTTTGGATCATTCTTGTATTCACATGGATGAGATGGACCACAAGAGCATGAAGAACCAGGAGAAATCACTGTTTAGCACCTGCACGATGAAGGAGGAAACTCAAAGCAGGAGAGACACCACTGAATGTACTCCTTGGTCAATTTTACCTGGGAAATACAGTGGCTAATTAATACCTGAACCATACTCACAAATTACCTAAGGTCTATACAAACTTCACCTCTGCTATGACTTGAAGTAGTACAGGAAGTGTGATGGTTTCCCTGTACACTGTTTTTGTTTTTGTTTTTTTTTTTCAAATGCCACAAAATAAAATAATCCAATTAATTAAGCACCAAGGAAATTTGAATGAGTTGGACTCAAATGACATTTGCAAGATCCATCTAGGCACTGGATTATGTGAGCAGCCTGGACACATCGTGGTAGTATATCCTTTAGAGAATCAGCTAACAGACCTTTGTTTTCAGGTGTCACTTGCATGGTGTTAGTACATGCTCTTTTAAAAATGAAAACGCCCTACCTATTGTGTCCATAGTTATAATATACTATGATTAGTTGAATTACAGTGGGTTGGTAATAATATCATAATTATGTAATTCAGCCTTTCACTGCTGTGACCAGAATACCTGACAAAAATAACTTAAAGCAGGAAATATTTATTTTTATCTCACAGTATCAGAGGTTCATTCCATGCTGGATGGACTACACTGCTTTGGGTCCAAGATAAGGCAGAGCACCGTGGCAGAAGGGCATGGTGAAGATGCCTGGCTCTGCTCCACTCCACTTCCCAGTAAGGAAGCAGAAATGGAAGGGGCCACAGAGAAGGGGCACTTTCCAGGATCACCCCCCCCAGGGACCCACCTCCTTCAGACATGCTTCTGCTAGCTTTCTGCAATTTTCACTCAGTCCTTTCAAACCACGATGGATTTTTTAGGTTATAGCTCTTCACAATCCAATTATTTCACCTCTGAGCAGTTCTACCTAAACACAGGAGGTTTGAGGAGACATCTTATCAGTTCATATTGAATCCCTAACCATGCTCTAAAGAGGGACCCCTGCAGTAACGGAAAGGGAAGTGAGAAAGAAAGCAAGAGACGGGAGAGCGAGAAATGAAGGAGGGAGGCCAGGCAGAGATCCACAAGAAAGTTTATTTGTCAAAGCTGACAACTAATGTCCATCTCTCTATAGAGAGGAGAGAGGGGTCCCGAGATGTTCGTGGGTTCCACTTGTGTGGGGTAGGGCCTTGGAGTTGTAGCTGTGGCGCTATGGGATAGGCTTGTGGGGAATAGCATCGGATTGGCTTAGATCCATGGCACCATGGGGCTTTCCAGAGCAAAGGGGTCATGTCCTTCTGGGATTGGCTTAGGGTTATGGTTCCGTGCAATAGGTCAGTATGAGGGTGCGGGAAGTTGGGGTTAGAGGAAGTACAGGAAAGAGAAACTTATCTCGTAAGATGGCGGTTAACATTTAAGATGGCTGCTCCAATGTTAAATCAATACCGGATACCTGTAGACCCCACAATTCCTGGTCTTTAATTTAGTCTCTAAACTATCTCTCTTTCACCCATTCCCTTTCTTCTTCCCCATAAGGAAACTCTCTCTCCAGAGGTCCTATGGGCTAGCACTGGGGCCTGCGCACCTATTGTGGAGAGCTGCTCTGTATTGGGCAGATCAGAACCAGGCTTGGAGAGCTACAGGCCAGCCACATAGCTGCRAGCACTCTGCCGGGTTGGTGGCTGTGGGAGGGGATGTTGGGGGACTATAGATACCTTGATATTGTTTCTAGGTCCCAGTCCATGTCCCGGGATGRGAGTTGCCTCAACTAAAGATGGTGATGGTGGCAGCGGAGGTCACCCAAGATGGCCACAAAGGTAGCCCAAGATGGAGGTGATTGCTTCCAGAGATGGGGCAACGAGGGCGGGCTGTGTGGTGGCATTGTGTGATAGGTTTGGAGAGGTAGCACTATGGCATGCGGTGTTACAGTGGGCCACTGTCTCCAGACACTGTGCAATGTCCCCAGGTGGAGGTTACCACGTGGAGGGGACAATGGCAGACTGGGGGAGCCCAGTGTTGGTTGATGGGGAGCCAGCACATGGCGGGGTCTGCAGGGGCAGAATGGGGCCCAGGGGGGTGCAGGTGGGAGTTCAGTGAGCATCCGTGTGGGCAGGGGTCTCACCTGACTTCTTAAGAACAGTTTTTTATTAGGCCCAAGGGCTCCTGCCTGCAATGCCCTACACTGAGAAGACCGAGGAAAGAGGATCACAAGTGTGACGTCAGCCTGGACAGGATACTGAGACTCTAAGTCAAAATAAAAACAACCAAAGCTTGAGGTTTAGCTCAGAGGTAAAGCATCCCCAGATAATATCCCCAGTACCAGAGAAAACAATAACCAAATGATCAAAAATTCAACAGTGTTTTTTATGGAAAATACATTTCTTGTGAAATGTGGACAAGATGTATCTGTATAGTGTGGTAAATGATTATCAGGCAAATGTCTGCATGCCCCAAACTCAAGTCCAGGAAGATAGAGTTGTTTGAAAGGTTGTTGAAGGACACCAACACTGAGAATGGGAATACAGGGGTCCTAGTCTCTGTACCCTTGAAAATATACCAGATAGAAAGGACTTAGGACTTAGAACACTGGGAAATGATCACAGGAAGTACTGTAGGGCATTTGGAAATTGATTCAGGGCAGAGCAGAAGGCAGGAGACAGTGAGTAAATGAACRCTGGGGTCATAGGAGGTCCAGTCCCACAGAGGACCTAGGGAGGACTGCAAGGACCACCCGGGCGACATTGAGCTGGAGCTTCTGTGCACCCACTCCCAGTCACTGGGTGAGCTCTGCTCCTGGACCCTTAAACCCTCCTGCCCAGAGGTTGCTCTTCATCCACAGAAAGCCCTCAGGCAGGGAGGTCCAGGGGCTTGCTTTCCAACCATCTTCAGATATTAGACGATAAATGCTCACAGCAGAGAGGTGGAGCATCTCAGATGGTCTGTTATGGTTTGTAAATCTTAACAGACGTCCAAACAAAAAAATGACAGAGAAAGCACATCAAAAGGGAAAATAAAGAGACATGATGCCCTCATGTGTGTCTAACAGTGAAATTCATCTTTATTGAAGATGTAGRTCTATCTCCACATGAGACAGTGAGTCAGAAAGCAGTAATGTCCAAAGGGGTAAGGTGAGAACAGAGGGAGGCGAGAGAAAATTCCAACTTGTTTAAATTGGTAAGAGACAAAGAATCCAATGGGGCAGGGGMGGTGCATTTGAAAGCCAAACATTCTCAAATAATCGGTTGGAATTGAGGTGTCCCATTGTTCCATCATGTAGGGGCTCAGAGATGAGGTCCATGGAGAATATTGATTGAAGAAGAGGAGCGATGAGGTCAGAGTGCTCAGCAGCAGGGGCCACTAGAACAGCCTGGGGAGCAGCAGGTGTTTTGGAAACAAGTTGGGTGGCAGCAGCTGGAAACCCTGCAGGTGAGAGGGCAGCACTAGGTTCTGCAAAAGGTTTTCTGCCAGCTATTGGTGATGCCGCAGGAGGGCCTGCAGGAGCTAGCACCTGGGGTGGCTGAGAGCAAACAGACTAGCAGCAGCAGGGGCGGCAGCAGGTGGTCCTGCAGCAGGTGGTCTGGAGGCAGGTGGGGTGGCAGCAGCTGGACCCACAGCCACTGGAGCTTCCACATCCACTGGAGCCACCACAGCAGGAGCTGCAGCAGCTGGAGCCACAGCAGCTGGGGTGGCAGCAGGTTGTCCTACAGCAGGTGGTCCTACAGCAGATGGGCTGGCAGCAGCAGGAGCCACAGCCACTGGAGCCACCACAGCCACTGGAACCACCACAGCAGGGGCTGTAGCAGCTTGGGCGGCAGCAGGTGGTCCTGCAGCAGGTGGTCTGGCAGCACCTGGGCTGGCAGCAGCCACAGCCCTGGCCAGAGCAGCAGGAGCCACAACAGGAGTTGCACATGGTGTCGGAGACTGGAGGTTCTGGGTGGGTTTCCAGGAAGGTGGGTTTCAAAGGTTTGGAGGTCTCTCTGGCCCATGTCCCCTTTTATACCCTGCAAAGGGGCTGCTGTCTTCATATGCAACACCCTTTCCTTGTCATTGTTTGTATTAGTAAATAGGCAATTATCAAATCAGGCCCATTTATTTTTGGTTTTAATTTCCAGTTGCATGGACAATGTGTGATCCTTTCCCATTGTGATTGGATTCATTTGTCAGCTCTTCTTCCTTAATCATCTCTGAAGTGTTTTTCTAGCTCTCCTTCCTCAAATGGAGGTGTCCACATGACATTCTGCCTCTTCCTGGTGGTCTTCAGTGTCAGTGTGCAGAGTATATCATATATATCATGTCTGTCTTGGGAAGGATTGACTTTGGGATCTCATAATTCTTCCTGGGCCCAGAAAAAGATATGGCTTCATTGTTTTCTGATGCATCATTCTTGTGGGCCTTCTGGGGAAAGAAGTTTTGAATGTGCAACATAGATCCTGTGTGAGAGCAGGCAGGCCATTAGGACATGTTTCCTGTTCCATACTCTAAATCTTGATGTCCACCTTGAAATTTAATTGAACACAAAGAGATTTGTCAGGCAGAAATGATGTGGTGAAACTGGGTGTTTTTCTTTTTTTGTGAGAACAAATCTAAAGGTAAACTTGGRCTATGCTTTTTTATGTATTCATTTATTTATTTTAAAAAATTTTAAATGAACACTAAGTTTTCATTTTTTTCTTTTTAGATACACATGACAGTAGAGCGTTTTGACATATTAYACATCCATGGAGTACAACTTCCCATTTTTGTGGTTGTACATGATGTGAACTTACACTCTGGCTGTGTAGTTATATGAGCATAGGAATGTTAGATTCATTCTACTGTCTTTCCTATACTCATCTGCCTTCCCTTCCCTTCATTCTCCTTTGTCTGATACAATGAACTTCTATTCTCTCTCCCGCTACCCGCTTTTTGTGTGTTAGTATCCACATATCATAGAGAACATTGGGCCTTTTGTTTTCTGGGATTGGCTTATTTCACTTAGCACGATAACCTCCAGTTGCATTCATTTATCTGCAAATGCCATAATTTCATTCATTTTTATGGCTGAGTAATATTGAATTGTGTTTGTATACCACTTTTTTTTTTTTCCATTCATCTAAACCACTGAGGTTCCTCATTCCCCATWTAACTCCAACCTGCCATTTACTGTCTCCACTGATTACTGGACTCTGAAGAGGCCGTGTATTCCCTTTTTCATTGTTGTGGTTATGAATCTGATTTCACCATATACGTTTTATGTTCTAAGAATTGCAAAAACCAAACAACCAACCAAAAACCAAAAGGAAATCAGAATGAAAAAAGTAAACAGAAATCTTGATAATTGGAATCAGCTGACMTATATTCAGATTGAGGATGAAGTCAACATGCAAAGGTCACCAAATTCCAAGGTGAAAAGCCATTGAYTACTGTTCCGAAAAATGAGGAATGCTGCCAGTCCATTAGTTGGTCTCCTGTGTGTCAAGAAACAGGAAGGAAGAAACTATTTGGCCTCTTTATGATGGCATCTTTCAGTGTCTTCATCATTTTTTTTTAATTACAGTCCTAAAGAATATGATCCTTATGATATTCCCATCAGTTTAGCTCGCTTAGCATACACCTGATTTCAGTGTTCTTATTTTTAAGGCATGTGTTGTTAAGATGGGAGAATATGATTATTTAAATAATTCTGTGTTCAGAGATATTTCACTGGATTTGCTGTGCAAGAAAGACAGAGGGGAAAATAAGAGATGAAAATCTTTTTGATTATTAGGGAGATGTTTCTACATGTATTTAGGGGAGTTTGACAGAACTATTTCAGCCTAGTGTACAAGCTAGRGTATGCTATCCTCATAGAACAAAGTCTGAACAATCACTGCCCCCAAACCAGTGGTTCTCAATATTGTCTGTGACTGGAATTCCTGTGGGGAGTATTAAAAACTGCCGGTGCCTGGCTCCTGCCCAGAACAGTATTGATGTCATTACCCTGGGGTGGGACTTGGTCATGCTTCTCAGGTTATCCTGATATGAAGCAAATCTGAGATCCTTTTCATTACATTGTCCCTATGATGTATATTAGTGTCAATTCCAATTAAGAATAGAAGTCACCCAAATCATTAAATTTCAACTGATGCTTTCTAAATAATAGAGAAAATATCCTGAATGGGGAACACTGAAGTTTGAACAATGTAAACTGAAAAACTGATTCTCCTCTTCAGTGTTTTGGATCATTCTTGTACTCACATGGATGAGATAGACCACAAGAGCATGAAGAAAAATGAGAAATCACTGTTTAGCACCTGCACTATGAAGGACAAAACTCAAAGAAGGAGAGATCCCACTGAATGTACTCCTTGGCAAATTTCACCTAGGAAATACAGTGGCTAGTTAATACCTGAACCATACTCACAAATTACCTAAGTTCTGCATAGTGTTCACTTTTGCTATGATCTGAAGTCGTGCATGAATGTGATATTTTCCCACTAAACACTTTTCTTTGTCTTTTTTTTCCAAATGGCACAAGATAAAATAATCCAGTTAATTAAACACCAAGGAGATTTGAATGAGGTGGACTCAATTGACATTTGTCAGATCCATCCAGGAATTTGGTTATGCCTATGAGCAGCCTGGACACATCATGTCCTTTATGGCATAAGGGAACATACTTTTCTTTTCAGGTGTCACTTACGTGATGTTAGTGCACAACCTTTTATAAACAAATACATCCTATGCACTGTGTTCCCAGCTACATGGTAGGACAATTATTTGAATTACAGTGTATTAGTAACAACATTGTAATTGTGCAAGTCTGCCTTTCACCACTGTGACCAAAATGTGTGACAAGAATTACTTAATAGAGGAAAGATTTATTTTTGGCTCATAATAGCAGAGTTTTAGTTCATACTGGACAGAAACACTGCATTGGACCCAAAACATGGCAGGAGGGCATGGTGATGATGCCTTGGTCCATTAATCACAGCCAGGATGCAAAGAGGGGGAAGGGGGCCACATRGAAAAGGCATCATTCCAGGGAACCCCCTGTGACCCACCTCCTCCAGTCATGCTCCGTCTGCCTGCAGTTATCACTCAGTTCTTTAAAAGTAGGATGGATTCTTTAAGTTATAGCCCCCTCTACACAATTATTTCATCTGTGAACAATTTTACCTAAACACAGGAGCTTTGGGGAGTTTATATCCAACCCATAACCATGCTCTAAATGGAGACACCCACAAGAACCATGTAGGTTGATAGGGAAATTAATGTAGTTTTAATTCAGCTCAGTTATTATTAATTATAATGAAAATCATGTTGCTTTCAAAAAGCTCAAGTCCAGGAAGAGACTGTTGGCATCACCAAGGACTCTTGTATGTCTTTTTCTGACCCCGCCTCCCTCCCTCCACCATGGAGAATTGCTATCCTGATTTTTCTTTGTACTTTATCCAGCAATATATACATTTCTAAACTATGCAGTTTAGCTATACATGCCTTTAAATTTTATATAAATAGAATCTCACTATATGTCTTCTTTTTCTTCTAAGATTAAACATTTCCACATTTTTTATAGTCATAACAATGATGGTATTTGTCATTACATATTCATACAGGCACACATGGTAACAGTATAATTTCACTTTGACTTTTTGTGATTCGTTTATTTCACTTAGCATGGTAGTCTGYAGCTTCATCCATTAACCAGCGAATGACATAATGTCATTTTTCTTTATGGCTGAGTAATACTCCATTGTGTATATTTACCACTTTATGTTTATCCTTTCATCTATTAAAGGGCACCTAGGTTGACTCCATTGCTTGRCTGTTGTGAATTGTGGTGCTATAAATATTGATGTGGCTGCWTTACTGTAGTGTGCTGATTTGAAAACTTTTGGGTATATCCTGTGCAGTGGGATAGCTTGGGCATATGGTAGGTCCATTCCCATTTTTTTCAGGAATCTCCATACTGCTTTCCAGAGTGGTTGCACTAMTTTGCAGTCCCACCAGCTATGTGTGAGTGTATCATTTCTACCACATCCTTGCAACATTTATTASTATTTGTATTCTTGACAATTATCATTCTGACTGGAGTGAGATGAAATCTCAATGTAGTTTTAATTTGCATTTTCTTAATTGTTAGAGATGATGAACAATATTTCATGTGTTTATTAACTATTTATATTTCTTTTTGAGAACTGCAAGATACTTATCCAGAAAAGGCAGATACTTACCCAGACTAAATGCCAACTCCAGTCAGAAAACAAATAACTGGCTGATGTCCTCAGGCATGGTACCTTATAGGACCTCTGTGTTAGACTCTGGAGGGATAGTGTTTTAGTCAACTTTTTCATTGTTCTAAGAAAAAGACCTGACAGAACCATTGTAGAGGAGAGAAGGTTTATTGGGCACTCAGGGACTCAGAAGTCTCAGTCCACAGATGGCTGATGCTGTTGCTCTGGGCCTAAGATGAAACACAACAGAATTCCAAAGGGTGTGGAGGAGCCAAGCAGATCAGGACACAGCAATGAAGAAGAAGAGAGATGGTTCCACTCACCAGGGACAGAATATCAACCCCAAAGGCATGGCTTCAGTGACCTACCTCCTCCAGCCACACCCTGCCTGCCTACAGTTACTGTCCATTTRATTCCTATACGTGGATTAAGGAACTTACTGGGCTTATGCTGTTATAATCCTATCATTTTGCCTCTGAACTTTCATGCATTGTCTCACACATGARCTTTTGGGGGATACGTCATATCTAAACAACAGCAGACCATCATGCATTCAGATGAAGATGTTCTGGAATTCTCCAGTTACAACTTTTGAACATGGCAGTAATGTGGCAATGCCTGGAAGCTTTGAGAGATTTATATCCCATCATTAGGGAGGGGCATGTGTGTTTTACC